AAAAATCAAATTAAAAATGATATTTTTTTATAAAATTTAATACTTTTTAGATTTAAAATACTCTTAATTAAAAAGAAATCATAATAGTAAATAATTTATTCAATTTGATCTTGTTTTTTTATTATCAAATATTCAAATTCCTCAATTTTTTATAACACAACAATGTATCCCTGATTGATTAACAGTAAAATCATTAACAAAATATTATCATTTGAAGGAATGAATTTTATTTTGATAACTTTGAATAAAATAAACCATATTGAAAAAAAAATTGCATTCAAATCTTAAATGTGTTACTAATTATATTTGATGATGAATTAGTCATCTCAATACCAAGATTAAAAGAAAACAGAAGATCTCATTTTAAGAAAAATGCAAACAATCGAAAAAACTCAAGCTCTTGCTTTAAGCCGTCATAATACTAAACGTTTCAAGACCCTAGCTTTCGTTTTTGTAAAAAGGTTGTCCAAATTTAAAACATAAAATTTGTCAGAAACAAGGTATTGTCACATAAAAGTTCAACCGCTTTAAATAAACAAAATCTAAAACTTGTTCATAATTTACTAAGAGAGGAAAAAAAAAATGAAATACAGAATGTTCAGTTAACAGATGTCTAACCAGCAAGTTCAAATGGTGAAATAATTTAAAAAAAAAAATCTTTCCATTAAAAGATGTACGTTATCATCGTATTTTCTTAGAAGTTAGTGTAAGCATAGGCAAATCTATTGAAGATATTATAAAAGATTGAGACGTGTGCCAAAAAAATCTGAAACATATTCAAAACATAGCATTTCCCAATGCAAAATGGAAGTGATTGGTGAACCGCAACACATTGAACCAGTGAGCGTGGCGCCGAACATGGAGAAGACAAGGACATACTAGAATTGAATATTGTAGTAGTAGCAATAGTTGAGTTGAGGTCGACCAAAGAATCGTGTGTTTCACTGTTTTGTCGCGAGGGATAAGATGGGTGATTGGACGATGAATCACGATTGACGAATGTTGGATTGTTTAAGGTGCAATTTTGGCTAAGACTTCATCCTGCCAGCAAATCATGGACTCATCTCTCGTTGGATTAGAGGATTGCCGTCAAACATTATCTCACCGTTTAAATCATAATCATCGTCCTAATCTTGGTTAAGTTCTAAATACACACGTCTTTTCATTGCATCATTTTTTTTTTCTTTCACGTCATTTTCATAAAGTAAATAACTTTTGTTGTATGAAGTTTTTCAAGTAAAACCATCCATCCTATTTGTATCTTATTGAATCGGGTAATATTTTAACAAGTGACGTGTACATATAAACTTGTTTAATATTCAATTATATGTATTATTTTATTTTTAAACTAACTCTTACAAATTTGTAAGAAAATAAAACTTATGATAAAGGTGTTTATAAAAAAATAAAAATTAATTAAATAAATAATAGAAATTAGATAATGAATTATTGAGCTTAAAATTCACCTGTCAAAGATTATTAAAATCATTTTATTTATTATTTTTATATGCATTATTTCATTATTTTTTATTTATTAAAATATCATAAAGTTGTTATTTTTTTCTATTAATATTTTTTTTAATGATAAATTATTATCTTTTTATTTATTATTATCTTTTAGATTTATATTAGAAAATTCAGTAAAAAAAATAAATCTTATCAAATACATTACTCTTTTATTTATAAACTAATTTAAAAGAGAGATTGCTGTGAATAAATCTTTATCCTTTTCAAAGTTCCAATTTAAAATTTGATCTTTCAATTTTGTTATTCTCAACTCATACCTTCTCCTTCGTCTCTATTATTTATCCGATAAAAATATCTATGGAAACAATATAATTATATTAAGTTCAAACACTAATTTAATTAATATATATTCTTATTCAAAGTTATTATATCATTTCATTCCAACCAAATTTTAAAAATAGTTATTCAACCTAAATCAAATATCGATAACAATATCTATCGAAAACAACATGGTTATATTAAGTTCAAACACTGATTTAATTAATATATATTCTTATTCAAAATTATTATATCATATGATTCAAACCAAATTTTAGAAATGATTATTCAACCTAAATCAAATATCTATTTATGCGAAAAAAATATCTATCAAAACAACATAGTTATATTAAGCTCAAACACTAATTTAATTAATATTTATTCTTATTTAAAGTTATTATATCATTTCATTCAAATCAAATTTTAGAAATGATTATTCAACCTAAATCAAATATCTAATAATGAGTGATAAAATAACTTTAATATTAAAAATATAATTAAATCTCAATATAATTAATATTGAATATCATACTCAATATATAAATTAGGAGTAATACAAGCAGTTTGACAGTTTATATTAAATCTCAATATAAAAAAACTCAGCCACTCAAAATGACAAGGGACAAATCAAATACAGAAAAAAAAATTGTGTAAGGAAATAAAGTCACGCTGAAATTCCTTTCGATTGGTTATTTATTCTTTTTTTTTTTCTTCCAACAATTTATAAAGTTCTAAATGCAGTAAAATTTTGCTTAGAATGATTTTAAATAAAGTGAGAGAGATACTTGAGGTTAAAAAAATATATTTTTTTAAAGAAATATCAATTGTCTCATGACAAAGATGGAGTGAATCTAGTCATAATTAAATTTTAAGTTATTACTACTAAGTAAAAAAATTACACTCTAATTAATAATTATAACTTTTAATCAAATAATAAGCATTCGACTCTAATAATTTATACTCAAGAAAAAATTACTTATTTAAATAAAGTTTGTCTCTAGAATCCTCACTAATTTTTAGAAATTACTTGCAAGAGTCACTATGACTTGCTCAAGCAAAATTTGCTTTATTTTATAATAACTTGCTCCAATGTTTAGCTGATGATGTTGCTATCTGAACCACTTCTTTTACTTCATTTTTCTCCATTTGTTTTAGATTCTCTCTTAGTATCTGTACCTCTTCCTTTTCCTTTTTATTTGGGGTCCATTTGTTTCACGTGAAAGTGAGGGAACTGAGAAAAGAAGAAAGATGACACACCATTTGATTTAAAAGAAACGTGCTGAAAAATTGAAGGATCGAGAAAGAGAAATGTAAAAAGCTTTCTGCACTTGTATGGAAAGAAAAAAGAAATACAAAAGTTACATAATTAATTATATCGTGAACATTTTATTAACATAGACACGTAAATTAATTGAAAAAACATAAACGTGTTTATTTTTTAAATAAAACAACAAAACAAAAGTATGAATCATAGTAACATCTATGGCGTCCAACCAAATCATATTTGGTTCCTTGTTAATTAGGATTGACTCCATATGTCTCAGAAACATGTAATTTATGGTTTTCGTTTGGGTGGCGATGATTTAAAAGGAGTAATTTCTTTCGTAAAAGTTTTGCTTATGTTTAATTTTCGAAAAACCAATACGACACATCATTTCAATATATATATATATATATATATATATATATATATATATATATATATATATTTGTGAAAATATTGTTTAATCTTGTAATATATTAAACCCAATCTCTAAATTTGAGTTTAAACTAAATCGAAATATTTATGAAAATAATTACTCTTTTTAAAAAAAAATAATCATTGCCAACTAAATGAAATCATATATTACATGTTTCAAAAACACGTGGGTGTATCCTTACAAGAAAAATAATATAATTTGACTAACCATTAAGATTAATTTATTCTCTACTTGCGTTTTACAGTTGCATTTTAAAAATAAATATATAATTTTTCAATTAACCCGTAAGCGATGTTTTGTCCACTGATGAAAGTTACAAATTAAAAGTAATTTCCTTTTTTTTTGTTGTTGAAGTAAAACAGTCAAATTGAATGTAACCTTTTATTTGTGTCATTAAGTAAAATTTCAACGGTAATACTTTAATAAAGAGAATTTTTTTTCACCTCCTTCCTTATTTTAGCCTCTCTTGAAAGCCCCATTTGTTACGTATTTAATTGTTCTTTGTTGCAGTGAAAGAAACAAACCCTTTTTTTTATAGGAAAATGATATATGAACAACTACAATGAAAAAACAAATCTTATAGATAATCCGGTTAATTAAAATAAAAATAATTTAAAATTATTATTATATTGTTAAATGAAATTGTTGAGAATATATTTTCTAAAAGAAAGTTGTTAATTTATTTTTTCCTTTTTTATATTGTAATTGTATTAAGAATTTTTCTATTGAGTGATATACATAAAAAAATAATTTTTTTATCAATTATTCATCCATAACAGTTTTTAAATTTTTATGTTATTATTTACCTATTTTATTTCATTCTTTTTTTATCGATTAATAAAAAAATATTATTTTAAAATTATATATTAGATGTTTTGAAATTGATGATTCTGAAAAAAAAAATCTTTACTCCTTTCTATTGAAGAGTACAGGTCCTCTCTCTAACATTTTATAGTTTATTTTTGGATAATTTACAATCTATTTTCCAGGAAAATATTAAACCTACTGGTCCTCTTCTATGATTTCAAAAATTAACACTTCCAATGTGAAAGAATATATTAAAATAGAAAGAGTAACTCAAACAACCATAAAGCTCACACTTAAATTGTAGAGGTGGATTTTCAAGACTCGTATAAAAAAGTATAGTCATTCATAATACTCTTTAAGTGCTAAAAGAACTTAAGTTTTCAACAAATCGTTTTAATACTTCGTTGTTTTCAGGCAGTGCAGAAAACATGACAAGACAAGCTTTTCTTCTTGATTTCAAATTACATCAGAATGATCATTGTTCATGAATCGACATAACACTGATAAAAACTCAATTTTGTTTAGTTGCAGATTTACTCATTGCTTTTTGTAATCATAAGGCTAAGAGGGGAACCATCCCTCAAAAGCTAGCTCAAGAGGTTGAAGAACCTCCTACCTTATAAGGCCTCCCTCGTAAGAAGACCTCCCCAATGTGGGACTTGTTACACTTTTCAGCAGCAAGCCTGTTCTTTTTGGATTGGTTTGTAATCAACCAATCAGAGATTCTGATGCATTCTTCATAGACCATAGCGCCACGAAGATAAAGGCCGATGTGCTGGAAATAAATTCATACCTGTGAACAAAAAATTGAACCCAGTCATATGATTATAAATAAAGGAGAGTCTGACAGCTGTTTTTCAATAGTTATATTATTAGAAAGATGTGGTGGTGGGGTACTATTTAATTAGTTGTGGCCAACTACCACCACCAACCAAAGTCTCATTGGTTGAGGTTGGCAATATAATCACATAACGTCATTTCCCTCGGCTAGAGACCAAATAAATCACAACAATATGAAATCTTAACAACTTCCTTCGTTGACCTTTTTGCTCTCCCTCTTTTCCTTTTCATAGAATTAAAACCCATGCAATCTCCTCTCTTCACAAGTGCTTCTACCTTATTGCTCCGCCCCAGCAAGTCACTAACCATCAACCGAGAATTCCTCTTGGTACTTTCCAACATGTCACTGAACCAGAAAATCAGAAGATTAAGCACCCCCAACAATTTCTTTCAAACACGAGATAGAAAAGAAATTTCATAAGTTATAAATTTAAAATGAATTACAAAAAAGGCATAATGTTGACAGCCATTGTCATCTAGTGCTAAACCATCACCAGTAAAAATAAAGCAGTCGTAATTTCAGACAAGAACTAGTTAAGTATAGAATATACAGCACGTGATGCCTAGGCAAGAGGGTTTTCTATGTCCATATTGGTTAACTTCAATAAAATGAGTTTACCGCTTCATTTGCAACTGGCAAACCTGCAACAGTCAAACAAGAAAAAAAGCATGTTTCGGGGAACAGAAACAACTTGCGGTAACTAAAAACAAAAGTGAAGAATAAAATTATCTTCTGTTGTTTTCATAAATTTCTTTAAAAGATAACCAATAATGGAAATCATACGAAATCATTTCTATGCAAAGACTAGTAATGAAACATTGTACAAAACTAAGGAAAATTAGTAAACGTTATCTCTCGTATTATTATTTCTTTTGTCTAAGAATCATATTTTCAGCATCAGATATCAATTTAACCAGTATTTTAAAATGCCTAAAGTTGCCCCGGGTCTCATTTCTGTGAATTCCTAATTTACTAAAGGTACTAGTTTAAATTATTATTATTAATAAAAAAGGATAATTTGTTAGAGCTTATCATCTGAAAATATATGAACTTTGAAGGTCGGCACAGTAACAGAGAAGTAGTATCTCATAACATGAATTAGTTAATTTGAAGCAAATAACATCATTACAAACAAGGAAAGTGATGTCATATGATGACCAAGGGATATTCTGTTCCTTAGAACAATCAATAAGATATAAATTTGAATGATAGTTAAGTGATGGCAAATTGATATAGCATACCATCTCTCAAGTGAACTGATATTGTATGCAAGTCACCTATGAGCCAAAAAGTTCTTTACGTGAGTTGCCAACTTTGCAAAATCTTGGGGCCGTTTGAGTCAGTTGTGGAATTAGCTGAATTTGATGTGTTTGAATCAGTAGCGGCATTATCAGATTCAGAATTTGATGAGTTTGAATCAGTTGCGGCATTAGCAGATTCAGAATTTTCTATGTTTGAATCAGCTGCAGCAATAGCAGATTCTGAATTTGCAGTGTTTGAATCAGTTGCAACATTAGCAGATTCTGAATTTGCTGGTACAGATGCAACACCATTGAAAGCATTCAAGAAAAACCTCTTGTTAGGGATAATACCATCTTTATCCATATGCGCCAGCAATATATCTAGAAGCTCCTTCTGTTTTGCTTTAGTGTAAGCCTTATAAAGAAGTTTATATGTTGATGAATCTGGATATATTTTTATATTTTTTGCCCTCTCAAACAGTGAATGTGCTTCCTGTGGTAAACCATTTAAGCAGTAAACATCAAGCATAGTATTTAGGGTTGAAACTTTTATATGAATTTTTGAATTAACCAGCTCATCAAACAATTGTACAGCACTGGAGACACAATCACAGAGGCCATACATATAGATGAGACTCTCATGCGTAACAAAGGTTGGGGTGTAACCCATGTCAGTCATGCTCTTGAAAACTTCTTCTGCTTTATTCTTAAGCCGTGCCTTCCCATAGTTCAAAATCATTGAATTGAAGGTGGAAGGTGTTGGTCTCTCCTTGGAGTGCAACAAACTCTTAAACACCTGCTCCATCTTTTCAAATTCCTGCTTCTTCCCATAGGAATCAATCAACAAGTTAAAAGTGATCAAGTCAGGTTTACACTGACTGGTTTTCATTCGAGCAAGGACTGCTTCCATTTCACGGATCATCCCATTTTTACCATAAGCATCCATGACACCGTTAAAAGTGTAAATATCCGGAGAAATAGAGCTCTCATCAAGATCCTTCAACAAAGAATTGACCCTTTCGACGTTTTGAGCCTGAGCAAAAGCTCTCAAAAGAATGTTGTATGTAACAACGTTTGGCTTACACCGCTCCATTCCCTTCATCTTCTGAAAGTAGCCAATGGCCTTGGCCAAAGCCTTTGTTTTGTCCCGCGAATGAAGATGGGCCGTGATGAGTGCATTATACACAGAAGTGTCAGGACGACATCCAGTATTACGCATCTCCGAGAAAAGCCACATAGCCATTCTGGTTTGACCTTTCTTTCCCATAACTGATATCAATTTTGAGTAAATCCCATTATCAGCGATATACCATCGCTGTTTTTGCATCCATCTGAAAACCTGAACACCAAACATAATTCACAACTAAACGAGACAGAATTAACCATTGACATCACCATTCATGTTCCCTTATTTTAACTAATGCATATTACTACGATTTTGCATAATGACTTCTATTTAATTCTATTTGCTACAAATCTGTTTGGAGAAACTTCTTGATAAACATTTCTAAGAAAAAAAAAAATCAACTTCTTTGTAAGCGAAAATTAGTTTATAGATGAGTTAAAATCAAATTTTTGAATAAACTAATAAGAAATAATTGTATTAACTAATTTTACTTAATTTCACTTTTTTCTTCTCACTTCTTCTCAAAGGAGTGCTCATGGATAAGTTTCCTCCATACGAGCCCTTTAATTAATAACAATGTCTTGTATGTATCCGTATTTGTTTCCTGTCTATTTTCCCACACTTAGTTGTTGATTTCTCTCACAACTTACGTCATTTTACTGTTAAAATCATTATACTATTACTTGGTCCATAGTTTCAAGGGCTATATCAAGGTTTTTGGAGTCACTGCAGCTGCAATTGTGGTCACATTTGTCCACAATTTCGCGCAATACAAAGAATTGGGACAAGAACACGATTACAATTTAAAACCTTAATATTATTAATTAAATACTATAATTTTTATTATAAGTTGTTATATGCATAAAGGAATAGCGATGCGAATGAATGAGGAGTGAAGGTAGTTTTATTTTATTTATAAAGTGAAGATAAATATACCGAAAACAGAAAATGTTTGAGCAGCAGACACAAATTTCATTACTGCGGAACAGAGAGAGAGAGAGAGAGAGAGAGAGGAGAGAGAAGGAGAAGGGACCTCAATGCATTGGAGCCATTTGTCTTCCTTGCCGAGTTGTTCGAAGAGCAAAAAGCAATGTTCGGTTCTGACCTGCTTCACATACTTGTTGAGAGTCTTGAGGAGAGGCTCTTTGTCGCTTATCTTGTGCGTGAGCAAACGAACCAGTTCTTGAGCTTCGGAATTGTGGCTGGGTTGCTTCCTCCTGGGCCTTGGGCCGCATGAAATTGGGGGAACTGGGGCGGCGCGTGGATGGGTAGTAGTAGCACCGTAACTAGCGAAGGAAGGAGAAGAGCAAGAAGAGAAACTAGACATTGGAACAAAATCAACCTCGACTAACCGAAAACAGAGTGAGCGAGTGAAAGAGAAGATAGCACTGATTGAATACACGCAGACGGACTTTGGGCTGTTGGCCCATTAACTCGGATGCTTAAATTGGGCTGAGAGTTAGGTTTTTCTTTTAACACCCCAAAAATATATTTGATTAAACAATAAGGGGGATTGCTGCCAAATTTATTTACTTATTTATAATTCTAAAATAATGATAAAAGATAATTTGAAATAAATATTTGTAATTGTTTATAATAAATGCCACTAATTTATTCATTAATTTATTTACAAAAGCATGTACGTTACTATATTATTTCATTTTTATATTTTCGATTAGAAAGATAAAAAAAAAAAATTATTATGATTTTTTTTTTCATTGAACGTCATTTCTATTCTTATATCAACAACAAATATAATTAGATATTTTATTCCTATCAAAACATTTACATTTCCTGCAACCTAATGAAATCGTATTTGAAAGCATATTAAAATTACGTTTCTAAACACAATTTTAATTGGCTTTATTTTTTTTAAACATGTTTGATAGAACGAATTATGTATAAATGTCACATTTTTTTTCATAATTTTTTTTTAAATAAGATTTTTTTTTAAATATATTATTTTAATATTTTAAATTAAATTATTAATTTAATAGAAAACAAAAAATATTTAGATAAATATAGTTAAATTTTATATTAAAATATTATATTATTTATAAAAGATACAAATTTATTGTGATCGCTTATACGATTATACCATTTATTTAGATAAAAAAATATATTTTTTGTTTTATTTTCAGTTTGTACGTTTATTTCATTCCGATAAAAGATACGTCGGAAGACCTACAATTAATTAAATTTAAAATAAAAAAGATATATAAGTTAAAAATAAACTAAAAGAAATATTTCTTTTATCAAAATAAAAAACATAATCATGTAAATTATTAATTTCAACAATAAATTTGTATCTTTTTTTTAAATAATATAATATTTTAAACATAAATACAGTTAATTAAATTTAATCATATTTGTTTAATATTTTTATTTTTTATTAAATGAATAAGTTAATTGAAATTATTTAATAAATAATATATTTAAATAAATAAATAAATTCATTTAAAAAAACTCATGTTAACAAACACGTTTTTTTAAATAAAAACAAAAAATCAAGATTTTACTTCAAAGTGTGACACGATTTCACCTTCAAAATTCTCTCACCTCACTTAATTTAACCCAAAAATTATAAATTTTAGATGCCAATGATAAAATCGAATTTTTTTTAGCCAGAATGGTAAAAAAGCCCTGTTAATCTCTTTAATTTGGAAGGCGATAGGTAGGAATGGCATGGAGAGGAGTAGCTCTGGGCATTGTGAGGCCGAACTCATCTGCCATGTCCAACTCAGCTGGCAACATCTCATTTGGTAGTTTCCAATCAAAACAATGCACAAGTTGTGCGACAGTTTGACGAACCACAGTCAGACCCAATTGTATTCCTGGACATCCCCTTCTGCCAGACCCAAATGGTATCAGCTGGAACTCACGCCCTCTGACATCTATGCTGCTTCCCTCAAATCTCTCTGGCCAGAACTTCTCTGCCTCTCTCCATGCACTTGGATCTCTCATAATTGCCCATGCATTCACTATAACCCTTGACTTTTTAGGTATGAAAAAATCTCCAACCATGCAATCTTCTGTGGACTGGTGTGGTATTAGCAACGGTGCTACTGGATGAAGCCTCATGCTTTCCTTTATAACCATGTCCAAATACTCCAACTTCTCTAAGTCTGATTCCTCCACCTTCCTCTTCATACCAACCACGGTTTCCAATTCCATTTGGAGTTTCTTCATCACCCTTGGATTCTTCAGGAGCTCCGAGAGTGTCCACTCAATTGCTGTAGCAGAAGTATCCATCGACCCAGCCAACATATCCTGTGCCCAAAAAAATAATTGTCAAAGAAAAGCAAAAAAGCCAGTTCTAAAAATCACCAACGAGCTAATAGATAAATTTATGTCGAGCTAAATGATTAACTAGGACTTCGGGTTCAACGTTGTATGGCCATATACTTGTAGTTACTATCCATCTGATGATGACTTTAATTCTAATATATATGTGTGCTTTTATAAAAATGTCATTCATTTTACCAGCAAGATGGCTTTGATATGGGGTCGTTCAATGCGGTATTCTGATTCTTCGGTACCGACAAAGCCCAACATGACATCTACAAAATCCTTGGTCTTGTTCCTTTCCTTCCCTGATTGCATGTGCTCGTCGATAATTTTCTCAAAGAAGTCATCGAAGATTTTGGCAACTACTTTCATGCGCTTGGTTAAGCCTTGAAGGTCAAGTGCACCAACGTAAGGAATGTAATCTCCTATGTTAGGGGTTGCTGCTAAGTGCATTCCCTCTTGCATCACAGCCTTGAAACCTTTCTCATTCAAGTCCCGGTCCATGTACTTTTTCCCTAAAACCATTCTACAAGCCATGTCTGCGCTGAGTGTTGAAACTTTGGCACTGAGATCAACAGCATCTCCATCATTGGCTGCCTCTCTTAGGAGCTTGACCAATAGGTCAACCTCCTCTTCCCTCATGCTTCTGAAGGAGTTAATTTTTGTTTGGCTAAGCAATTCCAGCGTGCACATCTTGCGAACGTTGCGCCAGTAGGAACCATATTCAGCAAAGCTTAAGTTTCTCTGCTCCCAAGAGATGTACTTTGCAGCTTCATGAGGTGGTCTACTAGCAAAGACAAGGTCATGGGTTTTGAGGAAGAGTTCAGCAGCTTGGGGTGAAGAAACAACAACGGCGGGCACAAAACCTAAGCGCAAATACATGATAGGTCCATATTTTTGGGCTAGTTGATGCAAATCACGATGAGGATTTGCTCCCAACTTGTGAAGACTTCCCAAAATTGGTAACCCTTTGGGACCAGGTGGTAATTTCTTTGCCTTGTTCTTGCCTCTCCACAGCCACAGATAAGCAAGTGAAACTAAAAGAATTCCCATCCAAATCATGGTAGCCATTTGGGAGAGTGCAAGCTACTGCAAAGTGTTTATATATTCTGTCAAAAGATAATTAGTGGTCCTTGTGATACTAGGATTATATATATATATATACGTATTCATTTTTTCTTGTAATATAATAATATAAGATGATAACTTATTTTAATGGGAACCCCGATGTTGTGGTAATATGATGAATGATTACAAGTGACAAGTACCATATTTGTTATTTATTAGGGTTGAGACAAAGATACCTAGACGGCCATCGCCCTGCGAAGGATATATATACTGATAAAAAAATACATACTTTGGTATTTCCACCCTTAAGAGTTTTATGTGAAGCTGCAAACTCACCTTTTCTACTACAAGCTGCAATGAAAATTGGATTATTTCAAGCCATTCTCCCACTTAAAGCAAAAGACAAAATAATTGAATTAAAAAAGTATGAATAATTACATACGAGAGAAGAAGAGTTGGAGAAAGGAGGCTGAAGTGGGAACAGGTCTGCTCAAGTAGAAGTTGAGAGTAACTGACAATAAAGAAGAGACATGAAATAAACATAGAACATAACAAATATTAATGCTTAGATTTGTGGATTATGTATTTGTTTATTATTGACTCTCTTGTTTGTACTGATATTTATATGTTGCTTTGCACGATAAATTATATAAGGCAGTTGTGAACCTCCACTTAATCTACGATTTTAATTCATCTCTAATAATGTTTATTCAAAGTTTTGTATTTAAGATAAAATATCTGTGAATATTTAGTTAGGTCATTAGTTGAGACAACAAATGATTATTCAAAATCATCTAATAATTTTCCATTTCTTATCACTTAAATAATACATGTTTCTCTCCTCTCTCTCTATTCTAACTATCTAATCAACGTCAATCTTAAATACACAAATGTTGTTTTGACAAACTGTTTTTTTCAAAAACATATCCGTATAGTATGACTATAAATTTTAATATAATATTGTTATTTATTATTACATAATATTATTATTTATAGTTGATTGGTGGATGCATAGGTTGTAAGTATATCAATTCTCTTTTTAATAATCTTCAAGAGGGGTGAATGTTCGTATGATGTTTTTTTTTTTTTTTTTAAAATGGGTTCTCAAAATAAAATCTCTCAATCTTCAAATATCTTATCTCAATTTTTTGGTAGCGATGATTTACTGATAACCAATACAACCATCCATTTTTTAATGGGTAGGAATGAATGGATAATAGGTTCCATCGGATAACGTAATACCACGACATCTTAGGCCTTAGCCGTAGATTATATCCAATGGTCCACGTAAACCTAACTACTAAAACAATATTACAATAAAATATACCTGTTATTCTTGAACCTATTACTAATAAACAATATGTTTCAATATGCAATGCAATTCCAAGCGTTTGAAGGAACAAACTCCACAGAAACTGGAAATATGCCACCAAAAAGGCAGAAAGAATGTTGAAACACATTGCAAAATACAAAAAGCGTCACCCAAATTATTTGTTTTGCTTTTGAACTGATTCAGTACTAAATATTCATTCGCAGGTGGCAGTGCTGTTTCTGATGATGATGACACAATTGAAGAAGTGGGTGGAAAATTTTTTATCCTACCATAATATACAATTATCACTATAAACAAAGATTATATTATAATTAGTGATAGATCATAAATATCTCCCATAATTAGCGGATTTAGAGGTAAAGGTGGTAAGTCCTCAGGAAAATTCCGAAGAGTGAGGGAAATAAAGTCGGTTATAGTAAAAAAAGTGTTCACCATAAGATTATGAGATGACTGAATCTGACATAACCGGTTAGACATCTCCTCATAAGCTTACGCATGAACGAAATTAAATGCAAAAAAGTAAAAAAGGGAAAAATAAACACACAAGTCCATGATAAGATTATGAGATAACTGAATCTGGCATAGCCGGTTAGATATATCCTCGTAAGCTTATATGAACACAAAATAAAGTTTATAGTTCAAGTTCTTTTATATATGAGATGTTCTGAAACAGTTATATGCAGAACAAATATACCCACTATTATTACCAAAAGTAAACATGTAAAAAAAAATGAGAATGATTTCTCGTCAAATATCATGAAGAGATAAGATGATGACACAATTGAAGAAGTGGGTGGAGTAGGCCTAGTCAAATTGAATGTGTAGGGTTTTTCGTATTTTTGTTTTTTCTCCTTGTTGAAATACAAATAACAAATGAATTACCTATACAATACAAATAACAAGTGTTATTAAGACTTTCTCTATAAAGAAAACACTATACTTTCAATAACAAGAATAATCACCCAGCTTCGTTTCATTTGCTTGCTGCAGTTAGCATGTGTGGTGGGAAAGAAAGGTTACATTTTTTTTCTTTTTTGTAACACTGTTTTTTAGTCATGTTGCTCATAGTTTAACATAAAAGATGTAATGTACGGTTAAGATGGTTGCAGAAGGGATCCGAATGCATCCAAAAGATACGTTTGCAACATGCTGTTGACCAAGTGTGCAAAATTCATGCAAGTTAGGCATTGACACGGAATATAGCAATTATGGCGCTCCACTCCTCGTTATATTTACAACACCTCACCGGAGTTACTTACATTATATAGCTCCTTTCTCACAAACACCACTTTTGCATAAGCCCTGTTGCTTTTGGAAGCAAAGATACACACTGCTTTCCAGTTGCTACTTGAATTCTCCAAATAGCTACGATGATTTTGATAGCAATTATTTTAGTTTCTCTTGCTTTTCTGTGGCTATGCAGAACAAAGAAGAAGACAAATAATTTACCTCCTGGTCCCATGGGGTTGCCAATTTTGGGAAGCCTTAACAAGTTGGGAGCTTATCCTCATCGTGATCTGCACCAACTAGCTCTAAAATATGGACCTGTCATGTACTTGCGATTAGGTTTTGTGCCAACTATTGTTGTTTCTTCACCCAAAGCTGCTGAACTCTTCCTCAAGACTCATGACCTTGTCTTTGCTAGTAGACCACGTTTTCAAGCTGAAAAATACATATCTTGGGGGCAGAAGAACTTAGGCTTTGCTGAATATGGTTCTTATTGGCGCAACATGCGCAAGATGTGCACATTGGAATTGCTAAGTCAAACCAAAATTAATTCCTTCCAAAGCATGAGAGCAGAGGAGCTTGACCTGTTGATCAAGCTTCTAAGAGAGGCAGCCAATGATGGAGCTGTTGTTGATCTCAGTGCTAAGGTTTCAACACTTAGTGCAGACATGGCTTGTAGAATGATTTTAGGGAAGAAGTACATGGACCAGGACTTGGATGAGAAAGGGTTCAAGGCTGTGATGCAAGAGGCAATGCAGTTAGTAGCAACTCCTAACATAGGAGATTACATTCCTTACGTTGGTGCACTTGACCTTCAAGGGCTAACTAAGCGCTTGAAGTTAGTTTACAAAATCTTTGATGACTTCTTCGAGAAAATTATTAATGAGCACATGGAATCAAAGGGAGAAGACAGGACAAAGGATTTTGTGGATGTCATGCTGGGCTTTTATGGTACTGAAGATTCTGAATACCGCATTGAACGATCCAATATCAAAGCCATACTGATGGTAAGAGAAATTACATGGTGGAATTATTTTCCTCATACATTTTCTTTTAAAATTGAAGTCGCATACTTAAACAATAGTTGCAAGTATCTATGGTCATATGATTAAAGGAATAAACAGAAACAAATTTCGATCCTAGCTCTTTAATTTGCAGTTCTACTGATTTTTTGCCGGAGACTCTTCCACTAATAGTTGCAAGTTACTCTTGTTTGACATTTTCTTTTGGCACAGGATATGTTGGCTGGGTCAATGGATACTTCTGCTACAGCAATAGAGTGGGCACTTTCAGAGCTGCTAAAGAATCGAAGGGTGATGAAGAAAGTCCAAATGGAGTTGGAAAGTGTAGTGGGTCTGAAAAGGAAGGTGGAAGAATCAGACTTGGAGAAGTTGGAGTATTTGGACATGGTTATAAAGGAAAGCATGAGGCTCCATCCAGTGGTACCGTTGCTAATACCACACCAGTCCACAGAAGATTGCATGGTTGGAGATATTTTCATACCTAAAAAGTCAAGGGTTATAGTGAATGCATGGGCAATTATGAGAGATCCAAGTGCATGGAGAGAGGAAGAGAAGTTCTGGCCAGAGAGATTTGAGGGAAGCAGCATAGATGTTAGAGGGCGTGAGTTCCAGCTGATACCATTTGGGTCTGGCAGAAGGGGATGTCCAGGAATACAATTGGGTCTGACTGTGGTTAGTCAAACTGTCGCACAACTTGTGCATTGTTTTGATTGGAAACTGCCCCATGACGTGTTGCCAGAAGACTTGGACATGACAGAGGAGTTTGGCCTCACAATGCCCAGGGCCAATCATTTACTTGCCATTCCTAGCTATCGGCTTTCCCAGGAGAGAGGGATTATCAGGGAAGAAAAAAATAAAGACCAGTGATATTTTTACAACCATAAACGTACTTTAAACAATTCATTTTTATTTTTTACAACTAAAAATTATACAAACCTTTAAATAATTCACTTTTATTAATATAATAATTTATAAAATAATTTAATAAAAATAAAAATAAAAATAAATTAAAATTATTATTATAATATTAAAAAAGAGTTATTTATAAAAATAATATAAATTTGAATTGTGAAAGTATCTTTTTCTTTAAATTAATATAATAATATATAAAATGATTGAATAAAAATAAAATAAAATAATTATTATAATATTAAAAAAGAATTATTTATAGAAGTTAAATGAATTTGAGTTGTAAAAATATATTTTCCACAAATAAATGATGCATGTAGCATCTGTCACGTTGGTTCATTTCACCATGATTTATGGAAAATTATGTCACCCTTTCTCTCCCTCCCTTAACATTCAGAAATATGCTCATGGTGTACCTCAGACTGTTAGTGGTTAAACAATCACATAAGTGAAGGCATAAATGGACATTGAATTCGAATTTGTATGTGCTAAAGTGAAAAGTCTGTTCAAATTAAACACAATATAAAAAAGTCTATGCAATAACATATCAATATTTTAAATTTTTGGTGGAAAAGTAAACTACTTAAAAAAGCCATTTCTTCATATTTTTTGCCTTTCAAAAAGAAAAAATATATTTTGACACAAACACTCCATTAAACAACTGCATTTTATATTATTAATAAAATGAGTTGTTTTTTGAAAGTTTCAAAAAGTCTTGCTTAGCCTGTAAAAGAGTTAACATATTAGACTTTCATTCACGACATTTAAAGAAGTAGACTCAATCTACACCCTTTTATAAAGATTAAATTTATACAATTATTGAACGATAAATTTACACTTTGCTCGTATAATAGAATAGATTTTTAAATAAATAATTTATTATGGGTCTATTATATATAATATTCATATATTATAGAGATTTTTTTCCAATAAAAATTATCTAAATATTTACCTTATGCAACCAGTTTTTATTTTAAGACAAAATTTCACTCTTTGAGAAACTGAATTTTGATACCCTTTGTGAATGCTTTAAGTTGGAAGAAAAAATTGGTTGGAATTCAATTATTGTGAATACTGTGGTCCTTTCTTTTCAGTGCCTTAAATGTTATGTCTGGCAATACATGAATGTATTATGTACACCATCGTTTTCCTCACTTCAAATTCTGTTATACCCTACCTCTTTTATTTTTCACTTTCTTCTATTACGACCTACCGTATTTATAAAGGGTCCAACACCTAAATTAGTAATTAGGCATTTTCGATATGCTAATATAAGAAAATATGCAGGAATGAAACCATAATTAATTATAAAAAAATTATAATATTATTTTCAATCCAAAATATTAATACATTATATTTATGAATTTATTTTTTTATCTTATTTATTTTTTTAATTTATATTTAACGTGAAACTCAACTCAATCTTCCAATAATAATAAAAACTCCAGATAAAAAAGAAAAACACGTTAACAATAAACCTAAATCCGAGCAAATCATAATTATGAAATTGAATAAAAAAGATAAAAAAGAAAAACACGTTAACATCTAGCTTATTTAATATATGAAATTTATTTTTTATATAAATTAAATAATAATTTTAAAAAATTGAATAAATATAATTTTTTTTAAATGACAAATTTTAAAATATAAAAAATATATCATGAAATATTTATTGACAATTAATGTGGTTGTGACGGACGGAACTTCTCAGTACATTTAGAAGTTGATGGATCACTCGGCCCAACTCGTTTTAGCGAGTCGGTGGCGAGTTAGGTACAATCATAAATGTTACACAAACTTGTCCCAAAAATTAAAACAAATTTTTTAATTAACATAAAAGTTAAAATTGTCAAAATATAAAACCAATACCACCATATCATAGACTCGAGTCGAATTATATTCAGATATTCTGAAAAAAAAAAAAATATATTCAATTTTTACAAATAAAAATATGAAAAAAATTCACTAAAATAATTATCAGGGTTTATAGTCAAGTCAAGATAACATCTTCAATTTTTGAAGGTGACTGGCAAAAACAAATTAGTTTAGGATTTTCAATTATGATTATCACCTAATACAGACGTTTTAAATACTCGCTTCAATGATATAATAATTATGAACGTTAATTAATTTTCGTCAATAACAAAGTTTATAAAGCACCTAGCAAAAATCTAAAATGTGCCGAAATATGGGATAAAGATTCATCGCAAAGGATACAACAACTATTGCGAATCCAAATCCGAGACTATCCAAGTATTTTGTGTTTCAAGTGGATAACGTTGTTTGAAAACTAATGCGATAGTTTCTATGTATGTTTTTACTAAGCAATTTCTGAACTCTACGTTAGTGTCTCCTTCAGTATACATAACCCCTTTTGGTTTCTTTTGAACCCAATTGCTTTTGGTATACAATGAAGATACTGGAAGCAGTGGAGTTTGAAATTTCTCAAATAGCTTGGATGATTTGGTTTGCAGTTTTTGCAGTTTCGCTTACTTACCTGTGGCTATGCAGAAGAAGCAAGAAAAAGGGAAAAAGGTTACCGCCAGGTCCAAAAGGGTTGCCAATTTTGGGGAGTCTTCACATGTTGGGGCCAAATCCTTATCGTGATCTGTACCAACTAGCTCAAAAGTATGGGCCTATCATGTACTTGCGCTTAGGTTTTGTGCCCACCATTGTTGTTTCTTCACCCCAAGCCGCTGAACTTTTCCTCAAGACCCATGATCTTACCTATGCTAGTAGACCACCTAATGAGGCTGCAAAGTACATTGCTTGGGACCAGAGGAACTTGTCCTTTGGTCAATATGGTTCTTACTGGCGCAACATGCGTAAGATGTGCACCTTGGAATTGCTAAGCCACGCCAAAATTAACTCCTTCAGACCTCTGAGGGAAGAGGAACTTGACCTGTTCATCAAGCATCTAAGAGAGGCAGCCAATGATGGAGCTGCTGTTGATCTCAGTGCTAAGGTTTCAACACTCACTGCAGACATGGCTTGTAGAATGATTTTAGGGAAGAAGTACATGGACCAGGACTTGGATGAGAAGGGTTTCAAGGCTATAATGCAAGAGGTAATGCACTTAGCAGCAGCTCCTAACGTAGGAGAATACATTCCTTTCATCGGCAAGCTTGACCTTCAAGGACTAATCAAGCGTATGAAGGTTTTGCACAAAATCTTTGATGAATTCTTTGACAAAATTATCGATGAGCATATTCAATCAGAGAAGGGGGAAGACAAGGTGAAGGATTTTGTCGATGTCATGTTGGGATTCCTCGGTACTGAACAATCGGAGTACTGCATTGAACGGCCCAATATCAAAGCCATATTGCTAGTAAGAGATAACACATCATTGAGTACTTTTGTTTCCTCTTATTAGTATGGTAGCATGCTTAAGAATCAAAATTAAGACTTTGCTTGATGAATTATGTAAAATTAATTATGTTTGCTGTCATGTAGGAAAATAAGCATAACGGCCCAATGATTTGTTACTTGACTGTGGACGGAACCAATGATTTATCATTGCACTGACTATCTATTCCTCTAAATGATTGAATAGAGAAGCTAAGAATGAATTTTATATTCATATTGTAGTCATTTATCTTTTCTTGTTTACAGTAGCATATCAGTTGGACTGATATCAGTTTAGCTACTGGCTGGTTGGCTCTTTTCACGGAATTTTAGAAGTGCATGTCATCCATACTCTGACTGTTCTTTGATACCTTTTATTTTATCATGTAAAGGATATGTTGGCTGCTTCAATGGATACGTCTGCTACGGCAATAGAGTGGACACTGTCAGAGCTGCTAAAGAATCCAAGGGTGATGAAGAAAGTCCAAATAGAGTTGGAAAGTGTGGTGGGTCTGAAAAGGAAGGTGGAGGAATCAGACTTGGAGAAGTTGGAGTATTTGGACATGGTTATAAAAGAAAACATGAGGTTCCATCCAGTGGGACCATTACTAATACCACGCCAATCCAGGGAAGATTGCATGGTTGGAGATTTTTTCATACCTAAAAATTCAAGGGTGATAGTAAACGCATGGGCAATAATGAGAGACCCAAGTGCTTGGGATGAGGCAGAGAAGTTCTGGCCAGAGAGATTTGAGGGAAGCAGCATAGATGTTAGAGGGCGTGACTTCCAGCTGATACCATTTGGGTCTGGCAGAAGGGCTTGCCCAGGATTGCAACTGGGTCTGACCGTGGTCCGTTTAACAGTGGCACAGCTTGTTCACTGCTATGATTGGAAGCTTCCAAATAACATGTTGCCATGTGACTTGAACATGACAGAGGAGTTTGGACTCACAATGCCCAGGGCCAATCATCTTGTTGCCATTCCAACGTATCGCCTTCACCCTTAAAGTGATTGATTGATCAGGAGGAAAAAAACGTCGAAGCACCATATTCTATAGATATATATAGTAAATAAAAGGAAGAGACATTGCATTGGTGATATAATGTGATTTTTCTGTCCACACTAGCAACGGTAAATGCCACAAATATCCCCCTCACAGTGGCCTACAATGACTTGTTTTAACTAATTTTTGCTTTCAATGTTGTCTTTACTTCCACGAAAACAGTATTGGAACACTCACTGTCAAGGGTCACGTCATTCTTAAATACTTTGGTTGTTTGTATTATAATTATCCTCTTTTTCTTTTCTTTTTTTAAATTCAATCAAATCCCTTTTTATTGTTACATGTCGGTTCTACATCAAAGATACGATGTGAACAAAAATAAGAGATAAGATGAATAATATCACCAAAAGATAAACTAGTTTCGAGAATCTCCTCCACTATTCTGAGTTTTTTTTTTTTTTATTGATCAATATTGATTATTAATATATTAATTTTTTAATAAGAAATTCCAATTCACGACGTATCTTGTCTTTTCTTTAAAAAAAAAATTACTACCAAACAAAATATATAATCCCTACACAAATCTGAAATACTGCATCGTTCACCAACCACCAACCAAATAAAAACATTGATTGTTAGAGTCCTCCTAACATTAAGTCCAAACATCATTAGTTTCTCTTCACACAATACATGTCTAAGTTATTATAATTTTCTTTTCACATTTGTCTCAATTTTTTACTATTAATATTAATGACTTACTATTGTGGTTTTACAATTTAGTTTAAGAGGTGCCACACCTCAATTAGTTGTGTCCAGCTCAAAATTTATCTTGTTTGTTTTGTGAGGGTTTTGCTGTTTATGCCTCCCAATCTATCAACTACATTTTTCTTTTCCTTGTTTATATTTTTATTACTAAACATATATATATATATATATATATATATATATATATTTGAAAATTTTATTTTTTATTTATCTTTATTACATTTTAAACTTCATTATAGTATAATTATCTTCATTTTTTTAACCTTAATTTTACACTCATCTTCATTAATATTTAAGTATAATTTACAACTTATTTTCTTTTGTTATTTTAAACTCTTTACAAAATTTTTTTCTCCTCTTATTTCTTCTAGAGACAAATAATGAAAAACTATTACAATTATAATTTTATTATATGTACTCACGACATGTGAACGTTGAATAGTCCGACAGGAAGGATGCAGGGTCAACCACTATTAACATTTACTATTTAATTGTACTGATATGTTATGTTATATATTTAAAGTTTATAGTAATTTGTTTCAATTTAAGACATGATATATATCAGTGACTATTTACGTATAAATTAATAATAATTAATGAATATAAATATAAACATAAAGATATAAGTATTAAAATAATAAAATTAATATATTTTTAGCAATCAAATTTAAATATATAAAATTAAAGAAATAAAAATTTAAATATTTAATAATAATTTTAATAAAATTAAGAAATATATATATATATATATATATATATATATATATATATTAAAAATAACTTCATTTAAAAAATGAAATTTTATTTTGCATTAATCCAGTTGGAATGGTGGCTTAAAAAAAATATATAAATTATCACGAATGGCGTGATATTATTTTTATATGTTAAGTTTTTTTTTTTTTATATGTTGTTAAGTTGTACATTATTAAGTTAATTTTTAATTATTTAATATGAAGAAAATGTATTTTGCTATAACATGGAAGAAGAACATGACCCTTGTAAAAAATAATAACATCCTTCAATATTATATGTACAGATACAGATATTAATATAAATCTTAAATATAAACGGACTTACAAAATAATTTGTTTCGTCTTATATTTTTAAATGAGTTGTATTTCTAAGTTGAATTTAATTTTAAATGGGTCAACAAGTCAAGGAATATCTTAGATTGCTTTTAAAAAATAAATAAATAATATTTTTTAATAAATGAAAAAAGTAATTTTTAAATAAATAAAAAATTAAATTAAAAACAAAAATATATTTTAAAATTTTAAATTAAATTAATAAAATTAATTTAAATACAAATTTGTTATATGATAAATTATAATATTATATATACCAATAACATAATATTATTTTCTATTTTTTAAATATAATTTTTATTTTATAAATTTGTATATAATTGAACCAACCTAAACCTATTTAACTCACAATTTAAATGGGTAAAACAAGAAATATCAAAATCAATTTAGAGAACAATTCATTTATCTCAGTTGTTCAAATAACCGTGCATATTAAATGTTTTCTATACATTAGATTTATCTAATTTGCATAATATCTTTGGCTGTAATATCTCTTGTCTCTGCTACATGCAGCGTTCTTTTCCCTCCTCGAACACATGCATGAAATAAAAGAAATTCTAAATCAGTACTAAACTAATCCACCAACACAATCTGAACAGTCTCTTTCTTTGCATATAACTTCACTCCCAACCTTCAACAATCTCCTCTGCATAACCTAGTAGTCCCATTTTAGAATGGGAAGCCAAGCCATCTAGCATATCATATATGTACAAGGTTTCAGGGTGATCCCTATCCTCAACTGTAAATATAGTAGATTTCTCATTCACTTGAATAATACTTTGCCCAGGACATTTCCTCAGTTGAAGATATTTCATCCTCCTTCTAATATCTGCAACTTCATCCCACATTTCAGCTGATGCATATATGTTAGCCATCTCCACGTATGGAACTGCCACTTGGGGCTCCAATTCAAATAGCTGTTCAGACACGTACTTACCCATCTCCATCTTACCATGAAGTTTGCAAGCAGAGAGCAATGCACTCCATATGCCAGCATCAGGTTTAAAAGGCATACTTCTAATAATTTCTAAAGATTCTCTGAGATGTCCTTTACGACCAAGAAGATCAACCATACAAGAATAATGGTCTATACCAGGGCTTATGCCATACTTTTGTGTCATCATGTTGAAGCACTCCAATCCGCTTTCTAGTAAACCTCCATGTGCACAAGCTTGGAGAACAGCAAGAAATGTTATGTGGTTTGGTTTCATCCCCATTTCTAACATCATAAAAAATAGGTTCAAAGCATCTTTAACATCTCCATTCAAAGCACAGGCAGTAATCATGGTAGTCCAGGAAACGACAGTTCTGTTAGCCATGGCATAGAAAAGCTCCTTAGCATCATTAAAAGATCCGCACTTGGCATACATGTCAATTAGTGCGTTACAAACTACAACATTATATTTCAATCCTTTGTTAACAGAGTAATTGTCAACCCATTTTCCAAGTTCAAGCGCCCCCATCTGGCCACAACCTGAAATCAGTGCAAGCACAGTAACCAAATCCGGTTTCTCACCCGCAGCTTCCATTGCATTGAACAAGGTCAATGCCTCACTCATATATCCTTTCTCAGCGTACCCACTGATCATTACAGTCCATGATACACAAGTTTTGTCAGACATGCAATCAAACAAAAATCTTGCCGAATGAATATCCCCGCCCTTGGAATACATACAAATAAGAGTATTCACCACACATACATCAGAATCACAACCCAACTTAACTCCATGAGAATGTACAAGCAAACCATGAAAAAGTGCCTTAGGTTCTACGCATGACGAAAGCAAATTGAGAATTGTGCTAATGTCTGGGGAAAACGCACTATCTAGCATCCCTTTGTAACAATTAACAGCTTTGACATACTTTTCAAAATTCGCATATGCTGCAATCATGGAATTCCAGGACACAACAGACCTCAGAGCAGTGTCAATTTCATCAAACACCATCTGTGCCGAACACAAGTGACCACACTTGGCATATCCAGAAACCAAAGTGTTAGCCACGGAAAGATCATAATGAACCCCAATTCGAATCCCAAAGGAATGAACTGCACCCAAAAAAGTCAGATTTCTCACGCGCAAAATAGCGTCAATGAGTAGCAAGACAGTGACTGAATCGGGACGAATCCCCGAAAGCCTCATCTGACGTAGAAGACAAGACATCCTATCAAGAAAGCCAGAGTGAGCAAAACCCAACAGCATTGCATTCCAAGAAGCAATATCCCTGTCGGGCATTTCAACAAACACATTATGTGCATCTACCAACTGACCACACTTGACATACATATCAACCATTGCGGTTTGCACGTAAATGTTGGATTGAAAGCGGGATTTGAGGACGTGGGCATGGATGATTTGGGAGTTTGGGAGATGGGAAAGTGTGGCACATGCTTTTAAGAGGAAGGGAAAGGTGGAGTTGTTGGGTGTGACGGCACTTCGCTTCATGTGGCGGAAGAGAAGAAGGGCGTTTTGGGCATGGCCCTGATTGACAAGGTGTCTGATGTTGGAGTTCCACCTGAAAAGGGTCCATAAACGATTGATGCATGGAGAAAACTTGTTTACCATTTCTCATAGTTGGCATTTAGTTTGGGTACTTTGAACAGAACACTTGTTTACCCAACAAAACAACAACATACATGAATCGTATCTATCAAATGTTCAGTTCTCCAACATATTAGGGAAAAAAACTATGTAACAGGAGAGAAGAAAAAAAATGGAATCTATTTCACACACCTTTCTTTCTTACACCATTTCAATAACACTCACTACTCTCACCTTCCTATTACTTTTTTACTTTCATAAACATTCATGTATTTAAACTCCTTTTTAACACTTTTCGATTTAAGTTGTGATACAAAGTTATTTTTAACTATTAGCATTTTTATAAAATAGTAAAATTTAATTTAAAATATAGATTGATGAAATAAATAATAAAAAAAAATCTTGTTAAAGAAAATATTCTAAAAACACTTTATCAGTGTCACAAAAAAAAAGTAAACTATTGAAAATCCAAACATTATTTCAAGAATGTTTCTTTTTAAACCTTGTAACTATCCTTAATATATAATTAAATATCATCCAGTAGTGATTATGTAAATACCTAAGATTTGGTGATTTCATTATTTTAAAACCATTCAACAAGTTGGAGTCTATGTAACTTTTAAATTATTTTGGTTGAAGACAGATACAGAAACTTGAAGGAGAAATCTAGAAGTGAACATTGTTAACTATATTTTAACCCTTAAGATTGAATTGTAAAAAGATAAATTCTTAAGATTAAGAAATGGATATGCAGTTCATCGACTAAACTTGACAATCTCATTTTCATAATCTAAATCTGACGAATAACTTACTATTTGTAAGCTCCAAAATTCAAACATAAAATAATATATATCAGAAGGTGTGGATTAATTGGGATGATTGATGGTCTAAATAGGTCAAATAATACAACATTTAATAGCCTTTGGTAACGTGGAGGGTAGGTAGGAGTTGTGAGAGTGAGTTTGGGTTGAACGTGGCAAATCTTTACTCTCTTACATGGGATCTGTTCATACCACTGTTGGGTGGCTTTGTATATATATTTCATGTGAAAAAAACACCAAGATCATCCAACCTAGTTCTTGAGGATCGAGCTTTGTTGCCGAGGAATCCGGGGACAGGTCAAAGGAGAATGCTGAAACACCCTTGATTGAATATACATTATATCAATATATAATATAAACCACCAAGATCGTATCAATGCTGTCGCCTGAGTTTTCAAAACCTCATTCCTTGTTAGTATAGCTAGTCCTTTCTACCATAGCACATATAAATAAACACACACACACACACACACACACACATATATATATATATATATGCATAGAGATTTCGAATAGGCTTGGCTATCTGGGTCCAATACAATGAAACTGTTCATACCTGCTTGTTTTCTATTTCTGATGTTTACCTTCAATGTCACGTATGTTTTTCAAGGGGAAGCACTTATCAGCGAAGGAGTTGTGGCTTCTGCGAGTTCTGCAACTGTTGTGAGTTTGAATCTCTCCTCTGTAATCTACATCTTGATAACTTTGTTAATGGTTTGTTTAATTTATAGGAGCAAATTAAGAGTGTTTTTTACGATAATTATAAAAATCATCAAATTTATAATACATTATCATTCTGTAAATAAAAATATTGTAACGAAGCTGGTAAATCCTCACACAAATGGTGAAATGGAGATGTGAATAGGGTTTGATCAATGTTTTTGTTTTTGGAAGTAACCAGATTTAAGTGTGCAGACAGGTGGCTGTGAGAAGCAGAGGGGTGATTGCAAGGAAGAAAGAAGTGGGTCGGAAGAAAGTGTATTAGAGAATGAAGATTATGTCTATACCAACTCCTTGCCGTAGATGTTGAAGTTTAGCTTCGTTGCTTAACTTGTAGTAACAATATTAATTCCTCTGCAGGATAATTAATGTATTGATGTTGTTGATTACATTACAGCTTGTCCAAATCTAAAAAGCTAGCCACATTGACGATTGTAAAGGATCTATAACTTTTTATTTATTGTTTACTGGTTTATAACATTAGTCACCATGTTCTTTCTTTGACTGTAACACACTTCTTGCACTTGAGTGGTATTGATTAGTAAAGCTCTGTCTTCTCAATTGGGTTTGGCTCATCCACAAGAAATGCTTGCAACATTTTTTATTATTAAATCAACTTTATGAGTATGAGTGTACTACACAGAATGAGATTTCTCTATTATAAATAAGAGTGTTATTAATCATTTATCGTATGAAGATGGTTTGAACCAATTCAAATGAAAGATAAGTTCCGATGCTGAGATTGGGTTTAATTTTTACAAGCATATCATTTCTGAGAATGTCAGAATAACTGTTTCTTTAGGCGCTTTTGCTTTTATTAATTTTATTACATAAAAATTAAGAAAGCGCCAACTAGTTTTAAAAATTTTATTCTTTATTGTTTCAATTAAGTATAACATAAAAAACGCTAAAAACTTGAACAACTATTGTATTGAAATGAAAAACAAACCATAACATGAAGCTAACAGAGCATACCCAATATCTTCATAAATCGCTGTTTTTTATAAAAATGTCCAGCAAACTACGATATAGTACCAAAATAAAAATTCTCAATATATATCTCTCCCGTGATAATCCCTTCAATTACTATTTTTCTTGGAGCATTATATCGTTACTGTATTCTGTTAAAGGGTGTGAGAGTAGATTTAACATATTGGGGAAGAGTATACATGAAAAGGTAGCAAAGAAAATCATCTGATGCAATTGCACAATTATGTTATGAACCTAATTAGACGCTCAGGCCAAGAAACAATAACCACTTGAAACTGCATTTTCTGACATCCTTGATATGTATGACAAATACTTACATTTGTATCCTCATTGGACATATTTATGTACGTCAATTACAAGTAAAGCTTCCCGCTGTCAAACTTTGTTGGAAGCTGCACCATGCTATATGGTGATTACAACAACAATCCCTACACCAATGCCTATAAAATTTACAATATGGATGCGGTAAAAAAAAAAAAAAAACACTAATAAATGTTACTTGATAATAAAATTTTGCAAGGAGGTCGCAAGGGGGGGGTCAAGTTAATGACAAAAATGTGGCTCGCCAATTGGTTGCCTCAGCCCAATCACTTTAGCAAAGCAAATTAGAACAGAAACCTCCAGCATGCCTGCCACTTGGCACATGCTGCTATATTTCAAAATGTTGTAAGTTGGCTTGTAAGTTGTAACCATGACCTTAACAAGGGATACATTTCCATCCTAAATCTGCAATTGGCTAACATCAAACGAAAGAATTAAGTACATGGATCATGACAGCATGCCAAGAACTGTGTTCGATAAGAACTACCAAACATATAAACCCATTTATAGCAAAGCCTCGTATTTGTGCCTCAATTACGTAACTGACTCTGCAAATCAGCATTACATGTTTATGTAAGATTTCTGACTAACCCAAAATGCTCTGACTTGGTATACAAACATCATATTACATGAGAATATATAATGTCAATAAATATAAGAATTTTCACACATTTATATTTAATTGATCATACAACGAAATAAGGTTTTTGACATATGAATTTCCCTATATTTGAGTGCCCAGGTATCTTACATACTAAGGAGAAGAGAGAGAGCGAACCAAAATCCTTACAAATACAATACAGAGACTAGAATTCATAGACCCGCATTAATATACTTTGACTGATGTTAAGTGATAAACTTTAGAATTTCCATTCGCTCAGTCGCTAGCTAAGATCCTACAAGCATTTCAATAACATCTTGTTGATCCAAAAAGCAGGTATCCGATCTAGCCTCTATTGATTGAGAGGGTTGAAGACTCCTTTTATTTATTTATTTATTAATGCAATTTTGAATTCCACGGAACTTTCTCGATTCCAACGCAACTTATCCTTTTGGAGTTGACGTAACAAACTCCATTAATGGACTAAGCAGAAGGTTTCCGTTGTGGGCACTAAATCTTGACCCAAAACTTCAAGATAATGAGCATATGGATCTTTTCACCTAAAATTTGTCTTTGTCAGATTAACCCATTATTAATCAGTGTAGGGCTACATCACTACTTGAATTTCTAACATTCTTCCGCTAAAAGTGTAAATCCAAATATTAATATGCTTCCTCCTCAAGATGGGGGTTAGCAACCGAATTGTAAATCCAAAGTCCTCTTAAATGCTCCATCTACTGGGTTGAGACTGAACTCGTGGCAAATACTATGTGCCCAACAAAAACATATTAAATACTTGTCGGGCGGCTAGAGTGAGCCCAGAGGAGAGATATCTGAATTAATGGATTAAGTGAAAGAGCAAGCAGGCTAGATATCATATCTTAACCTATAACCTCAAGACAATGAGCTTTTCTTACTTACGCAACCCATGCCTAACCAATGTGGGATTTCTTACTCATTTCACTTGAATTCCCCAGAGTAGAAGACAACGAGAATTTGCCTGTTATGACAAGAACTATGTCTTAAGGTTATCGTGACACTAAAATAAAAAAAAAAGAATTAGAACACGGTTAAAAGGGTGTTACCAGAATACCAGTTTTTTTCTTTTTGGCTCAAGGACCAATACGTACTCAAAAGGACCTATTATCCACGTGAATAGTTTATTTCTGTTTCAAAATTGTAAGAACAAGTTCATTAGTCACAGAACACAGTATGCTATCATGCCTATTACCTGGATGATGCCATCAAGTAACATTTTCTCACATCTAAAATTTGCAAGTTGCATGTTTAAATTCACCATAAATCAGTTTATAATTAAGACTAAATAAAATTAAAAGCATTTAATTCAGAAGGTTCCCAACCATTGTGGGAGGTAATATGAGAGGCTCAAATACATGCCACGTAGCCACTGTGAGCAGGGAAAAAGAAACGAAGACTATGAAAAGGACAGCATATTGCACCAGCCTCTTCCATCTTTGTCTTTGGGATGGATAATATGTGCACAACCTTACCATAAGAATGAGAGGTTGTTTGCACAACTAGAACCCATATCCACCAGTCCCAAGGCTTAAACAAATACCATAATGAGGAAAAAATATGCCATGTCAAAAAACATGCCAAGTAATCTTTTTGACCACCTAATTCACATTTAGCATATTAACTTAACACAACATATCACATCCAAAAGTTAAAAAAAGAAAAGAAAATTACCGAGTAGTTGCTTATGCAGTCCCTGTAACCAGCCTTTCCCGTTCATCTAGCTTCTTGATCTTCACAATGCCAAAGAGCACTTGAAAACCAAAGATTGCACAGAAGACATATGCTATAGTGGCAGGCAACTGAAAAAGATGGCACGAAACTTACGAATGAGAAAGTTCCACAACAACTAGACCATCAATTAATGCAATTGAAAATCACCACAGAAAAGATAAGTAAGATGAGGAACAGCTTACCCGAATTGAGTTCAGATGCAGAACTGTTGCAAGATTTATTAGGCTCCCAGCAGCTATTGCCTATTAATTGACAAAAAAACAACATAAATATACATTATCCGACCAACTTTTCTCATCTCATCATAACACATATCATACATATATCCAAAGTATTGATGCTAAAAAATCATGCACATGGTTTATAAAAAGTAAGTGCATGGAACATACACATCCGTTATTCACTCAAAAAGCTCTTGAAAGATAAGAATTTTAGATTGTTTTTATGTAAGTTGGAAAATGACGATTCATGACTTCCCGAAACATGAAAATACTCTTGCATACAAGGCAATCACAAACGCCCCAAACTGTTAAAAGGAGAACTACAAATATTTGAGGGCGGGTAAGCTTATTCAATGTAGTTCTATATCACCAGAGCAGGAAGTAGGTATCCATTTCATTTCCATAACTTATGAGTTGTTGCAAATGCAAGTCTATTAACAGAATCGAAGTTACTTACAGTAAATACTAGACAATAAATTTTAAGGGCATGCATTGCTACAGAAAATGACAACAGGCTATTAAATGGACTCGATCACTCAAACCAAATCCCAAAAACCAAACTTATAATTTCAGAGTTAGAAGTCAGATTTACTCACATTCCCTATTGTCTTCTGGACAGTGGCAATTCTCTGAAATGCCCTCTCAGATTCCAAAGTACGGACTCGGAGCTTTAGGTCACCTTGCTCCTGTGCAGAACAAAGGACAGGAAGATGTGATCTATACATGGATACGAGAATCAAATACGATTGAGTACGACGATAAGTTTATTCTAAAAAAATAAAATAAAAATATGATACGTATTTTAAAATGTAAAACAATTCATAAAACATAATAACTATAAAGCTACCAATCTTGCAAATCCAAATTTCAAAATACTCCATCAGAACAATTTTTTTCTTTGGTTTATGAAAAATAATTTTTATATGTTTCTATTTTATAGATATAGATATATGTTTCTTAAACTTTTATTAAATATAAATTATTTAAAAGTTTTGACATTTAACTACCATACACATTACTAAACTATACATACATACATATATATATATATATATATATATATATATTTCTTAAACTTTTATTAAATATAAAATTATTTAAAAGTTTTGACATTTAACTACCATACACATTACTAAACTATACATATATATATTTCTTAAACTTTTATTAAATATAAAATTATTTAAAAGTTTTGACATTTGACTGCCATACACATCAATAAACTATCTAAAAGTATTATTTGTAAAACAAATAAAAGTATTGATGCTTATTGGATACTTCATTGATACGTATCACTGAAGTATCCGACACGATATGTATCGGATTCAGATACGTGAAGCAAATTGAAATATTGGTGCTTTATAGGATCTAGAATACCAGAAATCCAGAACAAACAAAATATATGAATCAAACAAACAACTGTGTTTGTTGGTTTGCCGTTTGAAAGTTGCTAAACAGATATCACACATCCCAAACACAGGAACTGGAGAAGTGACTCTTTTGTGTCATTGGAGTAAACATCAGTAACGTTAAACATAACACAACCTAACTATATCTACAAAAATCTAATATATACCAATTTTTGGATGATTTCAGCAAGCTTTTCAATCCTATCAGCCTGTCTAAACAAGTTGTAAAATGCTTGAGATTGTCTGTCCCATCTCTTTCTCAAGTCCTGTACATAGAAGAAAGATATGAGAAAGGAAATCATAATACTTATCCTGAATTCAAACATGGAAGAACAAATCTGTGACTACCTTTAGGATAACTTCAACTCCTGCCTCACGGAATCTTAGCAACTCCAGAGCATAACTACAGGAACAGGAAAGATAACCATGTTAGAGATACAAAACGTATAATTAAAACATTTTAATGTCTAAAAAGAATTAAAATATTATAAACTATGAACACAATACTCACGGTTTGGCAATCTCCGTGATATCAAAACGAGGATCGAGTCCCTTTCCAATGCCATCCAACACTGCAAAAACAATATTTACCGATTACCTTGCAGTCATAGGCATATAACAAGCAAAAGTTACACCTTAAACCCCCAATACTCACCTGAGAAGGCTCTAACAACAAATGTGAATGTAGCAGGAAACCGAAAGGGCTGGTCTGCTGCAATGGCTAATAAATCCTCACCTGTTTAAAGTATGAAAGCTACAAGTAAGTGATAAGCCTATGGATTGCAAAATGCTACTGAACTAAATCATGCTATGTTTGATGGAATGTTGAAATGGGAATGGTAATCAATGTTTGTTCCTATATTTTGCTTGCTATGAAAATAAATAAAATGATGACTTCATTCCATCTTTTATGTTTCATATGTTATGAATTTAAGAAAATACAAGAAAAATAGATTTGGCTCGCCCAATGTGAGCCAACGAATATTTTTGTGATGAGCAGAGCCTGCGTCTGCACAAGCTTATCCTTTTTTGTTCTAAAACAAACATATTGGTTTAAAAAGATTTGGCACAGGTAAACCAGACAAGATAGGCCAATTTCAAAACATGTTGGAAAATGGAATTGAATTCCATCACTTCTACAATACGTAGTCCCATAATTGTACCCGAATGTGCATTCCCATTCTGATAACTTAACCAGGGATGGGTATAGGAATGATCAATTCCATTTGACGAAACTTGCATCGCACTAATCGAACAAAAACACCCAATGAAGTACAGAAAATTCTGACATGCAAAATTCGGATAGTTGACACAACAGAATTAAAATTCTTATAGTTGACACAACAGATCATGTCAAACTTTACTGAAGAAATCACTTTAACCAATCGGGAACCAAGTTCAAAGGTATAGTATATTGAACTGTATATAGCTTTTCACCTGACCTACGTGAGTGCTACTGGATAAAATAATAAGTTAACAATCCATAACCCATAGCCAAAACAACATATCCTTCCCCATAACTCATCTGTTTTTTATCTTAAAATATGTGACTCATTTCATGAACAATACTTGTTGTATGCATGCGTCAAATAATTTAAACTTGAAGACACATTAGTCCAGTTGTATTACCAATAGCAGCCAGACGCTCTTTCTTTTTCATTACTTTTTCATCTTTGCTCAATGGCTTTTTGAATCCAAGTTCAGCTGTTGCCATCTCTCTCTCTCTCCTTTGCGCAGCCAAACGTTCTTCAAAACTAAAGAACATAGAGTTGAAGAGCTCAAAGTCAGATATTCCAGTAGGTTGCTAATATAACTAATAAGGGTCATCTCCTATAAGCAGCCTCTGCAGGGATCACAATCGATAATTTACATGCTACACAGCTACATAATGATGTTGATTTATGGAAATACTACTTCTAAGTCAATGTAGGAGTTTAGATTTTTTTTATGTATTCCCAAATGGATTAAATGAATTACCTATTGAGGAAGAACTGTGCTGTTCGTCTAACAGCAGTCATATCTCCAGTTGGGACAAGAACACCCATTTGAATCATTGATTGAAGGACCTACATTACACAAGCTTCATTTGGTAAGTAATTTAAAATTGAGAATGGAATATCATGCTAGATTCTTCATGGCCTTAAACTAGCCACAAAAACCATTAATATACCTTTTCCGGATTCTTCTCATAAATTCCATAAAAAGCTTTAAGTAAACCTTCTCGAATATTTTGACTGATACTGTAAGGTGCAAAACCAATCATAACAGTAAACGTATTCATCACACCAAGAGTATGTTTGACTAGTAAAATCATATTTTAAATATAAAGAAAAGATAAAGAAAATACCTTCCCATCATTCCGAAATCATAAAAGATCAATCTTCCACCATTGACATCATCAACTGCAATATTTCCGGGGTGCTGGATGAACAGTATAAGTATTAGTTACAACTTACAATAGTATCAAATTGAACCTCTTGAGTGATATTCATCAAATATGAAACATCGTTATCCCTCATTCAACACAATTTCTTCCCCAGAGAAGGAAAAAAAGGAATGGCAAACGATTCCCTAAAATAGTATTTTGAATGCTTGGCAGTCACTATTCCTCATCACAGGAAGTATGTTAATTATAATGCCCTCCTGAATAAGCTCTAGGGAAGCTTCCCGAGGTAATAGATGATAATGAATATGACACAAGCAGCATGCTTCATGTACCTCGGGCAAAAGATGCTTGAATGTCACATGACAGTATTAGAGAAAATTCAGAGATAGTAAACATTACATGCTAGCCACACAACTTACCAGCTACAAGAAAATCCAAAACAAATCATTAATGCTCTATCTCGATTAGATGTAAAATACATACAAAAAATATAGAATAGATGGAAGTAAAAGAGAAATATAGTAGAAAAAATGTGTTGTTTTGAAGAATAGAAATAAGAAGGAAATGGAGATATTTCTTTCCACTTATTTGGACGAGAGAAAGAGTTGGTAAAAATAGATAAATAATAGTAGTAATATGTTGACAACTCTATAACTGTTTTTTATATAATAATAATAATAATAATAATAATAATAATAATAATAATAACATGTAGGGAGTAAAATAATAATTAAAATATTATTAAAAAAGAGTTGTCAAATGATTTTATTAAAATAGAGTTGTTAATATATCATTTTTCAGGAAATAAATAAATAAATTGTACATAAGCTTTTAAACTAATTAAAAAGTATATTTAAATATAAAATTTTAAAACTTTACTGTACTGTATTTTTCTTAAGCATAATCGTCTATTTTTTTTTTGTAGTAGAAATATTTGATTTAAAAAAATGTAAAACAAAATATCACATTCAAACACGCTTTTCTTCATTTTCATAGCAACTTTGGGGTCGGGGGTATATACGGGACCTACCCACAGACATCCTTCATCTCTCTTTAAACAAATGGTGATAATTTAGTATTTCCAAACTATCTCCTCTTCCTTACTCAAACAGCATAAGACATGAGAGACAACTCAAAAACAACTCGGCTCTAAGATCAAGAAGAGTACGCACAGGGTCAGCATGGAAGAAACCATGTGATAAAATCTGCTCCAAGTAAGACTCCACTGCATATCGCCCTAACCTGTAGAAAATAAAGTAGACATTATGTTAATTTGAATTTCTAAAGCCATCATCAGTTCTTGAAATGCACAGACGTATAGGGGAAAATGCCAATAGTAACTTGGCTTGAAGACATTCAGATGATATAAACCTTTTGCGATCAACACCCAGTTCATCTAAAGCTTGTATTTTATTTATTTTAATCCCGGGAACATACTCCATTGTCAAAATCTGCATTGGAAAAATAGTTAAATTATTATAGATAAATAAGAAAGATATCAGAAGTAAAAAAGGGAAAGATGTATAACTCCAATATGTTATCTAGGAGAACTGAATGTTAAACCTGTGGTGTGGTATAATCCCAGAAGATTGAAGGGACTTTCACATAATCCAACTCCTTAAAGTTGCTTGCAAATAGTTCAGCATTAGCAGCTTCCTTGGTGTAATCAATCTCCTGAAAATATTGAACTCATGTTACGTTAACAAGAATCAGATGAAGTTGAGGATGTGGAGGAATCATGTGTAAACATTACTGAAAAAAGTACAAGACCACTAAATTAACCCAAAAACCCTAATGTGCTAAGTGACCCTTAATACATTGGCACTAAGCTCTAAACTTGAGACGTGAAAAGCAATAATGCTGTTGTTCAAGGTTTTAGAAAACAACTGATGACATGAAATTCTCAACAAGCATGATTCTAGCTGAAGCATTATAATTACATTTAAAAACCAAAAGCCCCTCTTTTCCATCTAACTCCATCACCTAGAGAGGTCAAATTGCCAGCTGCCTTATCCCTTTTGTCAAAACTAACAATTTCAGTTCTCTCCTTTCTGTTTGCATTAAGAGCCTTCTAATAAGCCTTCAGCAATCTTTCCTAAAATTGTTATAAAATTTTCCATCAGAAAATGGAACTTCATTGGTTTCCCCATATGGAATTCCAAAGAGCAAAGCCAGCTTCTTGACCCTTCCCAAGAAACTGAACCTAATCAAACTCTAAATGAGTTGTGATCCTATGAAATCTTTATATTTGATTTCACTATATCACCTGATATAAAACAGAGGCACACTCGTCATAAATAGCAACCCAATCCCTCTTTGCACCATCTGATTTAGGATCAATTTTCTGAAGATATTCAGCAATGACCTGGAGGTAAAAGAGGCCCAAGTATCAGTGGTTTATCCAGTTATACAAGTCTTCACAGGCAGGAAGTTCGATTAGTAAAAATCCTTCATGTAAGAAAATAAATTAAAACAAAGTTTAAATTTTGAAAACCACATGTCAATCTTGGAAGGTTACTAAATATGTTAAAGAGCAAGTAATAGAATTATCAGAGAGTAATATCATATTTTCACACACAGCACTAGAACTGCAAGCATTATATAAAATGACACTGACCCTCAGGTTTTTAAGATCAATATCAAAAAGATCTTTGAGACCAGGCCTTTGCACTTTAACAACAACCTCCTGCCCACGTAATCTTGCACGGTGAACCTGACCTGCATTGGAGAAAAAGATATTCAGCATTTCTTTCTTCTCATCAAATATTAAACCTAAATCCAAGGTACATTTAATTGGGTTTCCTTCTCTAATTTCGCATTTACTATTACAAATACGTGTGAAGTAAAACATTTATTACCGAGACTTGCAGCAGCTATTGGTTCATGGTCAAAATGATCAAAGATGCTAGATAAAGGAGATCCAAGCTCTTCTTCGACAATAGCTATAGCAGTCTCTGAGGGAAATGGAGGAACTTGATCCTGAGCACAAGTCAAAAAGAATTTGGTAAGAAAGAATCACATGATTGCTTAGAAAATATAGGCAATCAATTATCAAAAGATAACAATAAATTTCAGATTAATACCTTCAAGAACAAATATCCTCATAGGGGTTCATAATGACTATGTGTAATAAACAAATTTTCAGAAAGAGAACATTAGCAGCAAAATGCACACAAACAGAGACATTCACCCCTATCATATTTCGCAATATTTTCTTTTCTTTTTAAAAATTAAATGATCTGAATTCATAAGATCATAAAGAGGTTAACATAGAAAATCGTTTTACTAATAATCATTTACTCAACTAGAAACAAAAGAAAAAAACATCACAGAATAACAACAAATAGAAAATAAAACCACAAATAAAGATATAATTGAAGAACAAATCTAGAAGCTACGGAAACTTTCCTATTCTTCTAAACTATAAATACCATAAATAAACTGGATAATAAAAAGGAAATATAACATAAGCACAACGCAAGGAAATAATCCTATAAGTTCCAACCAAAACTCCAATTCCACCTGAAGTTCCGACAACTGGTCAACATATTCTTGTGGAAGAATGTCCACTCTTGTGGAAAATTGCTGGCCAACTTTGATAAATGTAGGACCTAATCTCAGAATGCTCTCCTTCAGCCACTTGGCAAGGATCTTTCGCCTTAAGGTTTTCTTTTCCTCTGTCATTCCTCCTGTAAATAATATCTTTCAAGTTAAATAAAAAACAAATGGTAACATTGCTGAGATTCCTCAAGATCAATAAAAATCACTTGGCAATTAATAGTGCAGCAAGAATAAACTCTGGCTAGTATAACCAACCTGCCAAATTTTTCCAACTTGTAGACTTCAAGTACATATGCATAATAAGAAATAAATGTGTTCCGAACCCTAGAGACATATAGTATAGCGACACTGCTGGATCTAAAGCTCAAGAAAAGTAAACATATCTAAATAATCAAATTATGACTATAAGGGCTCAAACACATACTATTTTAATGATTGCTCTTAGTTTCCATTTCCCACAGCTAAAGGTAATCTTCTCTACCTAATGTTAAAATCTCTAGTTGATGCTCTACGATCGCAATTACTCAAATGCTCACTCAACTAACATAACTCCAACACCCAAGGAATAATTCTTTATCATATCAGTAATGGAAAACACTCCAACTAGTAACACATTAAATAAATTCTGCATTTGTTTATTGCATCCATAAAATCAACATATAATGGAGTCCAAGTTCCTCCATCATGAGTAATCTAAGAGACATTTCAGCATATTCATGAACACTGAACACCTCATTCGCATCATGCCGAGAAGCCAAACAACAAACCTTTATAAGAGAACTTCCGACCATTCAGCCAAGACTTGAAGATAAAAGTTATAACGAATCCCCAAATCTCCAACGTCCTCTGGATCATCGAGTAAGTCTTGAACCTGCTCCATCGACCTCCAGGAGCAACCGCCACCTGCAAAATAAAATCACGAGTTCACCTCAATCATCTAACCTTCCGGCGGAGAGCCAAAGACTTAATCCCTTCGAGATACCAAGATTCATGTAATAATTTTACTCCCCTGACAAATGCTATTTCATATACACGAATCCGACATATTAAAATTCATTTAAAAGGTTAACTTCTCCAAACAAATAGTATTTCATACACATGAACCTAAAGATAGAACTCCTAAATAATCAACGTTGTACCATGCAATCATACCTCAATCGGTGCTTCCGCACTTTGTTTTTTGAACCACGCGTCCTCTTTACCAATCTCCTCCAATCTCTTCTTCCGTCCTTCCTCTCTCCGTTTCAACGCTCCAACAAAATCCTCCGCCGCCACACCATTGTCATTGCCATTCACATACTTCACCAAGCTTCCATTCGCATTCTCACTCTCCCTAACTCTGGAGACGCCGTTCACGTAACCGTTTCCACCGCGTCCGCCGGCGGCAACTCCATTCCCACTCCATTTCACGTCGTTCACTCTGTCAATGACGGCACCTTCTTCCTTGGCGGCGCGAACAGCAGAATTACGCCGAGAGCTTCGAACAGAAGAGCCAGAGTGACACCTGGAAAAAGAACGTCGTCGTTTGGGGGTGATTTGCGGAGCAAGAAATTTGAGTTCAAGTAAGAGTAGAGAGGAGGAAGCCATTGATTGATCAGTGAGAGAGGTAGGGAGAGAGAGTGCGTAAGAAGATCAAAGTGGAACCCTAGATTTCATAACTGAATTGGATTGGAAGGAGAGAGTAAGCGAGTGGAGAAACAGAGGAAGAAAAAGAAGCAACGACAGAGGAAGAGTTGAAGTGAAGTTATTTTGAAACAAAAAAAAGAGTGGAAGGGGTGGTGATAAGGAGGACACGTGGCAAGAAAAAGATGAGCTGCGAGGTTTTGTGAGATTGTGATTGGTGGAGATTTCGCGAGTCGCTTGAGCCACAAAGGTCCTCAGCTTACGTGGAAGATATTTGGACACTTTATGCTGACGTGTCCGATCCCATGATTTTCTCTTGCCAATTGCGATTCACGGCTATATATCCGAGATAGCATATGTTTTTCACTTAATTTTTTTTTTTTTTAAGGAAGTAGTGAATACAGTAATATTACTTGAATTGTTATTGTCCAAATTAGTTTTGCCATTATATTAAATTAAAAAGTTTAGATATATAAACATAGAATTGATCGAAATTACAGTTAAGTTTGGATCATTTAATAATTTATCTGTTTAAAGATATTATTTATCTTCAATTACACATATGAAATGTATGGATTTTGTGAATTTTTATTTCGACCATAGTTATTATGTTGAAAATAATTTATTAAACTGAGACATGAAAAAGAAAATGTTAAAGTTTATTTTAGATTATTCTTCACTACTTTTTAAATGAATTTGTTTCGTTTTATATAAAAATATATTTTTTTCTAAATTTCATAGAAACAGTATTATGAGATTATTTCAGATACATTAAAGATAATAACATTGAAATGGGTTCATTCTTTCGATAAATATATTATTTTTACTTAGTATAGCATAATTAATTTAAGAAAAAAATTAAAAAATAATAATATCTTAACAAAAGGTAAGAATTCATCCAATTTATTTATTTTTTTAAAAGGTTAAAATTAAACTAATCATGAGATGGACGAAATAAATAAGAAAAAAAATACCGTTTCGAACAAAATTAAAATTCAAGCAACTTCTTTTTAAAAAGTTAGCATTCAAACTCTCAAAAAGTATTATTTTAGCACAAAATAAGACAAATATACTAATTATAAATAAGTTCTTTAATTTAAACTCGAAAAAACTAAAAAAAATGTAATTATAGAAACGAATTAAAGTTCACATCCAAATTTAATAAGTATTTTTATTTATTGTTTTGAATTACAACTGTAAATGGATTTGAATAAACGTATCCATATAATCCAAATCAAACTAATTAAATTAATTTAAAATTTTCAATCTAATTGGACCAATCTGAATTTGATTAATCAAATTCAATAATGATTAGTTTTGTAACTAACAAATATATTTATGATTAATTATTATATATAAAATTTTATTATATATTCGCTTTTTCTTTTTAGTTATTAGATGTAAATAAGTTACAAGAAAACTTTTTACCGTTTTTAATATTAAATATACTTGTAAATTATTGGACGAAATGGATGTTATAGTTGAAAATAATGTTCAAATAAGCACTTTTGCATTATATGTAGGATGTTACACATAGTTTATGTTCAGAATTATTAGAGTTGGTACATAAATACTATCGTGAGTGATCTTTTAAATATAATTTATAATTTTTCTTCTAAATTCGAAGTTTATTCTTTATATTTAATTCTTAGTTTATTTTGATATTATCAGTGAGGTGTTCACTCATTTTATTTTATTTATTTATTAATTTATTGAGTCATTAACTATAGTAAAACTCATTGGTTTAAAAATTATTCTTGCACTATTAACATCATTAAGTACAAAAATCACATAAATTAGGTATATGACATATTTAATTTAATTTTTGTATTATTAATTAAAAATAAACAATTTAATTTGTTTTATTTGTGTTAATGAATTAAGTATTTGCCACTTGTATATAATATCTAAGGTAATTATTTTAATTAGTTTTATTGGTGTTAATATATTTTTTATATATAATTATTGCAACACAGTATATATATATATATATATATATAGGAAGAGAATCTTGTGACTATTATATATGGCCTGCTGCAGCTGTGAACACTCATCAATATTACGTATGTATACACTCTTCTTCTCCTTTCTCCTTCATCACATTTCTTAGCATTGATTGTGATGTTATCTGACTTTCTACCAGTCTCTGAAAGCCGGCATGTTCACATGCAGATTTGCATGTTCACACACACATATAATATACCCATTGGAGCAATATCTTCAAATTGTTTTATTCAGTTGTCAATAATCCTGAAGCTAGCAGCATAAGCACAAGCCAAGACTATTCCCAAATATAATATCAATATTTGATCAATCATGAGGTAATCTCACTTCATGTATGTAAACATCACCAAAAGAAACAAATATTTTCAATCTTTACAGACACGATAAAATTAAGCTTGTAATGTGCACAATTGACCAAACTCGCTACAAGTACTATTACTGTCTCACCAACAATGCCATAAACAACTCAACTTAATTTGTATCAAAAAATAGCCAAAGGTTTTGGAGTTATCATTTTAACTTACCTGCATGCAAGAGTATTCCTATTAAATAAGTGCCTATTGGGTGGATGATGCAGAGCACTATATAGACAACTTTACTTGTTCTTAGTGGGAGAAAAGGATCGAAACAGTAGTACAGCTAGCATACAAGTTTACCAAAACAAACCAAGAGCAGATATGTGAAAGCCAAAGAATAAGAAACCAGAAATTGATGACTTGTGAACAGCTAGAATAGAATCTAAGACTGAACTGTTACTGAAAATTGTCCCGTGAAAAAAGCTGTTGCAACTGAAGAATTTACAAGAAGGGTGCATGAAAACGTTTTTGTTAATCTACTTCAGTTGGAGATAGACCAAATTTAACATTGGTTCATTAGAGACTGTAATTGTTAATTTGATATTGTTTTTCAGCTGTGTGTGCATATATGGGAGGGTTTTAATAATTCAGATCTTGACAAATTTGCTCTTTTTATGTGTATCATATTTTATGCGTTTGATCACGTATATATCATCGTACGTTGTTAATATAATCCCATGTTTGACTTAAAAAATTTCCAACTTTGTCAAACTAAAACAAACATTATTGTGATAGAATAATCCATTCAATAATTGGCCAAAGTTAGTCCCATAGATAGGAGAATAAAGATTGTATATCCTTACATGAGTTTGGATTTCACTGTTAATGTGAAAACTTGATTCACAGTGATCTATAAATATTTCTGAAAGCATTCTCATAGTCTTGAAACCTGACATGATCATAATATCCATCCAAGTTCCAATTGATCTGAACTTTTATGCAGAAAAGAAGAAATACATGCAATAATTGAATTATCTTATGTATGTGCAGCTTACAGCAACCTCTTTTAAACAAGAAATTAATATAAAAAAGAATACGTAAGAGCCGGTCCAATATATATATTTTTAGTGCATGCTTGGTGGATGTAGCTTCCATGTGTCAGAAGCCTGTTTGATAGCTTTAATCTGTGAGGCTGCGATATTTTTCTTTCCTGAGGATGATGGAGGTGAGACTTGACAGGTTGGAACTGATCAAAGAACCAAGCCAGTTTAAGACATATTCGTTAAGGGGAAATACAAAAGCAAAAGGGTCTCTTTTTGTCTATGCATATTTTTTATTTGCACATTACTTGCATCGTTTCACGAAATAGAGTGGTGGAAAAGAAGAAAATTGGGGACTGAGGGCTGAGATGCCTTGAGATGATACTGTCCTGCAATATGTAGTATGTGATGGAAGAATCTCAGTGAGACAAAGCAACACAAAAGCATGGCAAAGTGAAAGCATATATCCCATTGCTTCATCTTTTTGAGCCCCTTTTTTAAAAGCCGTACAAAAATAACATATGCACTAGTACGAATAATTCACGTTATGGGGTCTGATTAAGAATTCCAAACTTATTAAAAGCCAACATCAATTAGCCAAGTGCACTGTCTTCTACCAAACAATTTTCCATGATCATTCTCTCATCATTTACCTTACAATATTACTTCTTCGTCTATCTGGAAAGCACTTTCTCTTTTCCCCAACTACCTCTACAAACATGGGATATATACGAAATATTTTACCAAAACACCAATGTCACAACTTTGAACTTAATCCACTGCATTATACTCATGAATAAGTTCCATATATTAAACTTTGAACCTTCCTGTCCCTTCTTTCTGCCCCTCAAAAAACTTTTAATCTATATAATATAATATTAACCTCTCGCATGACCAAATATTTGTTAATCAACATTGCCGACCCTATCTAGTTGGTCATCTTATTCAAAATATGTATATAAAAAACTGGTCTAGTTAACAAGGTGTTGAGATGTTTGATTTAAACTTGAAAGTTGTACATGGTCATTGAATAAAATAGTATTTGTTTACTTTCTTGTTTTCATTTATTTTATATGACCAAGGGGGTCCTTCTAAATGATATAAAGACCACCCTTTGTGATCTTCTTCATCAATCAGCCTTTGCTTTCTTCCAATATTCCACATGAAAGCAGCACCTTTCCACTTTTCCATTTTATATGCCCCAACTTTTGTTCCCTTATTAAAGGCCGCATGCAGCACCTAAGCTAAGCATAACTTGTACATTTACACTTGCAAACATAGGGAGAGAAGGGAGGAAAAAGTGTGAAGGTGAGAATCTCAATTGTTTAGCTTATTAAGTGGCTCTATTCCATTCTCTAGCTCTTCAACATGACAGGGAAGAGAAACCAAACAACAAGCAGTCCTGTGGGAAGTCCAACATCTGGTAACATCTCAGACAGCTCCTCAAAAGAACAAGACAGGTTCCTCCCCATAGCCAACGTTAGCCGTATCATGAAAAGGGCACTCCCAGCCAATGCCAAAATCTCAAAGGAAGCCAAGGAAACAGTTCAAGAGTGTGTGTCTGAGTTCATTAGCTTCATCACTGGTGAGGCCTCTGACAAGTGCCAGAGGGAAAAGAGGAAGACCATCAATGGTGACGATCTTCTATGGGCCATGACAACCCTAGGATTTGAGAACTATGTCGGACCCTTAAAGCTCTACCTCAATAACTACAGGGAAACTGAAGGAGAAAAGAGTTCCATGGCCAAACAAGAAGAACACTCTCCAACCGATCAAACTCATCAAACCAATGATGGGGTGCCTCATTCTGTGACAACCAAAGCAGACTTCAACACTTTCAGTGGTGGCTTCTATTCTGTGGGGCCTCAAGCAACAGCTCCAAAGAGCTTCACTGATATTGGAGGGATCAACGGTTATAGAGAAAGCTCCATGAACAGTGTCATTTCTCAAAGTGCGGTCAGTGGTGATCAAGATGCAAGTGGTAATAGATTGATGCCACCCAACCTACGTTATAGGGTTGAATGGTAGATGTGACATGCATAGCAACAACTTCATGTCCCTTCCCCATTACATATTATATTACATATAATATAAATAATATTCTTATTATGATATATATATATATATATATATATATATATATATATATATATATATATATATATGATATAATATAACAAGTTCATCGTCTAATGCTACATTTCCCAGGCTTGGAGAGGATATATTAAATTACTACTTCGTTAGCGAATATATGTAACTCAGTTTATTGTAGTTTGTAGTGTTACTATTTATCTTGTGCCATGAGTCTTCAACAGTGTTGAAGTCAAAATGTTTAAGAGAATATCGCTTTTAGATCGTGTCGTACGGTAGAAGATTGTGATGCAAAAAGATAATCGACTTCATCTTCTTCATGTTTTAAAGTGCCAGTTCTTGCTCTGGAAGAGGTGATTTACTCTTTACATGATGGACCCTTTTCATCACTTCAAAAGCAATGCAACTTTATAAAGTACTTCTGAACAAGAGTCACATTTCCATCAATGAATCTCAAATTAATTCAAGTGTTTCACCACTACATCTTCATTATTTAACTCACATTGTGAACATGGCCATTGCATACCTTTTATAAAAACAAATACATTTTATGCCAATTTTTCCGAAAAGTTATCAACAATTCTAGTTTCAAAGTTACTTCTAGTTGAAATTTCATTGTACGGTTCATTCTTTCTAGTAGTTACTAGAAATATTTAAAAAAAATATATTTCTGTTCTGAAATTTAAGTTATTCTAATTTTGTTTAAGTTATTTTTAACATTGGTGGATTATAAAGGTATTGAAAAGGTGCGACAATTTTCATATTATTATATATACAGATATAATTAAGTCTTATTATTTTAATTTACTATTTAAAGTAGTTGAAAATCACTAATAGAAAATAGGTTTTTAACATCGGTTCGCAGGGACTTTTAACATCGGTTATAGAACCGATGTAAATACAAGCGATATAGAAAGTGTGACTTTCTACATCGGTTGAAAGGAACCGATGTATCTAATATTTTTATTTATTTATTATATTTTTTTGGAATTTGAATTATTATTAGATTAAAAGAATTGTCACTGGCAGGATTCGAACCCAATACCTTATCGGAGGTCGATACTCCAATCACTAAGCTACTAAGATTTTCCGATAACTTATACATAAATTATATTTATATACAAATAAAAATATATATCCATGTAAATATATAAATATAAAATATATAAATACAAATACAAATATATTTATATATTTATATGTTGGATGTGAGGGCGCGCTCGAGGATCAAAGTGTGTGTCGAGTGAATTTTCAAAATTTGATGTCAAATTTGTGAGCGAGGTTTCTTTATATGGATTATAACTCACTACAAGAAAAACATAAAATAGTGACCGAAAATTCGGTCACTAAATCTACAAAATCGGTTACTAATTAAAATAGTGGCCGAAATAGTGACTAACTGGAATCGGTCACTATTTCCTTGGTCATCGATTTTAGTGACTAGAATCGATGTGACCGATTCAGTATTTAAGTTTTTATTTATATTTATTTCCCCTATCTTTATTATATTTTTTAGAAGTTTAACTTATTATTAGGTGGTTTATTGTCATTGTCGGGATTCGAACCGGTACCTTAGAGTTGGAGAGTTGAAACTCCAACCACTTGAGCTACTTAGGATCTTTTAATAATAACTTACAAATAAATTATATTTATATACAAATAAATGTATATCCAGTATAAATATATAAATATAAAATCTATAAATAAAAATATATTTATATATTTTAATATATAAAATCTACAAATAATGGTATATTAGTATAGTATCGTATATTTGTATTCTAATTTTTAATTAAATTAAAATTATGCTAATAATGTATATTAATATATGAGGGGATAATATTGATATATTTGTATATATATATATATATATATATATATATATATATTATATATATTTATATATTTATATATTGATATATTTATATATTAATATATTTATATATTTATATTTTTATATTTTGATATATTTATATATTGATATATTTATATATTTATTTATATCCTTATACATTTATATCTTTATATATTTATATATTTGAAAAAAAATATTAAATTTTAAAAATAATATTATATTTTTAAAAATAAATATTAGAAAAAGATTTAAAAATATATATAAATTATATTTACATTTACAAAATATTAAAGATATATGTTTATATCTTTACATATTTATATATATTTATATGTTTATATTTTTACATATATTTATATCTTTCCATATTTATATATTTATATATAAAGATATTAGTTTTGTATACAAATAATATTATAATATAGTATATTATACTATTAGTATAGTATACAAATAATATGTTAGTATAGTATAGTATACAAATTATTAATTTTGTAATTTATATACAATGAAAATAATATAATGGTATATTGGTATAGTATATTTGTATTCTAATTTTTAAATAAACTAAAATTACGCTAAATGTATAATAATATATGAGAGGATAATAAATTTAATCCAATTACTTTTATAAATATAAAATCTATAAAATATTAAAAATGATATTATATTTTTAAAAACAAATATTAGAAAAAGGTTTAAAAACTAGTATTATCTTAAATTTATTAAAAGTATAATTAAATCTCTATTTTCTTAATTTTTTTTTAAACTTCTCAATTCTACATTTTTGTAAGTTCTATCATTATATTATATCATCCTCATCTCCTCCCATGTTTCTACTTTATCTTTACAATAGTCAATATTCTTAACTAATTTATAGTTTTAATTATAATTTCTTAGTATATATTTAGAAATTAATCAATTCTAATCTATTATTTGAAAAACTAATCAATTCTAATCAATAATTTAGAAAACTAATCGATTATAATTAATTATTTGAAAAAATTACCAAATATGATCGATCATTTCAAAAATATAATCGATCAGAATCAATTATCGCTTCGAGCGAGAATAGACTCACTCAAGCGAAATACACCGAGAGTACCAATTTTGTGCGAGGGCAGTTTCGCTCGAGCGAGAAACTTATCGCTCAAGCGAAATACAGTTTAGATAGCGGTTACACGGAACCGCTCTTAAAACTCACTTAGATAGCGGTTACCGTTGAACCAGCTATTATATGGTTACCATTATGATCGGTCAGAATGCAATTATGACCGATCATAACTATTTTAATCGATTAAAATCTAGTTTCAATCGATTAAAACAATTCTACTGCAACGTTTTAATCGATTAAAACTTATTTTTATCGAGTTAAAATAACTTGAAAACTTATATTAACTATTTTTTTTATATTATGTTTTTAAATTTTCTATTAGAGAAAACCTTTCAGAATTCAAAATGTTAAATACTTTTAAATATTAAAATTAACTTTGTCAAAAATTAGGAAAAAAAATTAATCCAAAAGAGTTCAAAAATGTATTATAATATTGTCAATTTTGAGTTTAATTATATGGTTCATTCTCAAAGTAGAAAAATATAATTTAAAATTTTAATACTAAAATTAAAAGATTAAATAATAATAAATTTAATTCTTTAAATTCAGTAGCTAGAAACTAAAATTATAGTTTCTCTGTTTGAAATAATTAAAATAAATATTTAAAAATAAAAATCAAAACTAGTATTATCTTAAATTTATTAAAAGTGTAATTAAATCTCTATTTTCTTAATTTTATTTGTTTCAAACTTCTCAATTCTACATTTTTGTAAGTTCTATCATTATATTATCATCCTCATCTCCTCCCATGTTCTACTTTATCTTTACAATAGTTAATATTCTTAACTAATTTATAGTTTTAATTATAATTTTTTAGTATATATTTAGAAATTAATCAATTCTAATATATTATTTGAAAAACTAATCAATTCTAATCAATAATTTAGAAAACTAATCGATTATAATTAATTATTTGAAAAAATTATCAAATATGATCGGTCATTTTGAAAATATAATCGATCAGAATCGGACTTCGCTTGAGCGATAGTAGTCTCGCTCAAGCGAAATACACCTCGAGATATCTAATATGCACTTTAGATAGCGGTTACGAGGGAACCGCTATTATATCCTCTCAATTATAATCGGTCATTTCAAGTTATGATCGATCAGGATCGTATTTCGCTCGAGCGAGAAAAGTGTCGCTCAAGCGAAATACACCTCGAGAATGCGAATTCGTGCACTTGGAGTTTACGCTCGGCGAAAATATTGTCGCTCAAGCGCAATACATTTTAGATAGCGGTTCCACGAGGAACCGCTCTTAAAAGTGAACTTCTAATAGCACTTAACCATTAACCGCTATCTTAATTATACTTTAGATAGCGGTTAAGGTGAAACCGCTATCATATCATCTCAATTATGTTTTGCAAAATACCTCTACAAATGTTTTTAACAATTAAAAACAAAGTATTTTGACAAAAGCTTTCTCAAATGCCTCTACAAAGTATTTTTAACAATTATATTGAGTTTAATTCTACAAATTAAAAGATTAAATAATAAATTTAATTCTTTAAATTCAGTAGCTAGAAACTAAAATTATAATTTCTCTGTTTTAAATATTTAAAATAAATATTTAAAAATAAAAATTAAAACTAGTATTATCTTAAATTTATTAAAAGTGTAATTAAATATCTATTTTCTTATTTTTATTTGTTTCAAACTTCTCAATTCTACATTTTTGTAAGTTCTATCATTATATTATCATCCTCATCTCCTCCCATGTTTCTACTTTATCTTTACAATAGTCAATATTCTTAACTAATTTATAGTTTTAATTATATTTTTTAGTATATATTTAGAAATTAATCAATTCTAATCTATTATTTGAAAAACTAATCAATTCTAATCAATAATTTAGAAAACTAATCGATTATAATTAATTATTTGAAAAAATTACCAAATATGATCGATCATTTCAAAAATATAATCGATCAGAATCAATTATCGCTCGAGCGAGATAGGCTCGCTCAA